GACCATATTGGTATGGTCACATGGTCACATGGTGTCATGGTACCGTGGTATCATGGTACCATCTATTTTCATGGAATTAAGAGTATACTAAACAATGAAGTGTCTGACGAAACACTTCTTTTTTATTTGGAGGAATTGACATCATCGAGTTCATGACTTGGAAATTCGTTCGACAAAGTCTTCTAAGAAGAAGAAGAAGGGAAAAAGTCTGATAAATGAAGAAGAAGTAGAAGATGAGCGAGGAAAAGAAGACGAAGAACAACAAGGACAAGAACAAGAAGGACAAGAAGAACAACAATTATATGTGATGACAATGTCACCAAGATGTGTGATCAGTTGACAGCCAACATATTTGTCAATAGAAATGTTCAAAAGTAGAATTAAGAACTTATTTATGTTATGAACTTATTTCTTTTTGTTATGACATTTTGTTTGTTTATAACCTACAGAATTTTATGATATGATATGAGGTGAAAAATATTGGAAGGTAAAAAATTTGGGTTGAAAAATTTTGGAGAGAAAAAAATTTGGGTTAAAAAAATTTGGAGGGAAAAAAATGGGTTAAAAAATATTGGAGGGGAAAAAATATGGGTTGAAATGTTGGGTCCCACCAAAATTAGTGTTGAATTGTCAACCGTAACTTTTTTGCACACTTGGATTACATTGGACCCCACCAGGAATGTTACATGTTCAAACTAGGACCCACAATATTTCGGTCACGATGGGTCACAGTTGGTCACAAGGTCGATTTAGTGGATTCTTTCAAATGAATCGATCTGATTCTCATCACATCTTCCATATGCACCATTTTGAACTATATTTAACTATAATAATTGAGTTATTCGAATTTTGTGTGCAAAAGTAGTTCTCACAAATGTGATACATTAGTGTTCATAGTCTTTTATGAAGAATTTTGACAATTTTGGTCTTTTTGTATTACAAACTCGTTTTAACGTTTTGTAATTTTGTCATCAACATAATATTTGTATTCCTAATACCTTATAATAACAGACCAAAGCTTGGAAATTACGTTTTTACCTATATTTACCTTCGTCACTTGGTCACAAGTCATATCTGGTCACAATGGTCACATAGAGTAAAATTGACATTGGTCACATGCTGGTCACATGGGACCCAGCCACTACTCATATGAGATAATTTATTTACTGTTTTTTAATAGGTAGAATGAAACCAAAGTATTATAACGCATTATTTTAACACACTATTATACAAAAATCTTAATGTTTTAGTGTACAAAGATAATATAATATTATTATACAATTTATATTTATTTATTCATTCAAAATTAGGGTTTCTCTCAAACTTTGTTGATGTTGATGCTCCTGTTGCGACATGAGATTATATTTTCTTACCACTCCAATGTTTCGAGTTTAAGATCAATGTCGTACGCAACTTCCAATTACAGCCAGATCCAAAAAATTTGTATCTTATTTCCCATAATTCTAATTCGAACAAGTTCACTGTTTCTTTTAATAGTTGGCAAATAACTCAACTTGATCTCCGTTTTATCTTTGTCCAACTTCATCTCAACACATAACTTCTGAACAAGTTCGCTGCAGGTTACTTCACAATAGAGACAAAAGAATATCACTCTTGGGTTTTCCACCACCTTTCCTTGTGACCATCATTACCATTACTGACTATTCTTGATTATATGATCATATGAACATAGTCACATGTGACTATAATTACCATTCGACCATGTAATTTAAACTCATGTGACCATTATTATCAATTCGACTATTATGGAGATCATGTGATCGTGTAAACACGTGGACCTGGTATCATGTGACCATGTGAACCTGGTACCATGGGACCATGTGACCATGTGAAGCTGGAACCATGTGACCATGTGAACCTTGTACCATCCGAATCAGATCTATTATAATATCATATTATAAATGACAAAACTTCACAAACATCACTCCTTAGAAGAAAAGAAATGGAAAAAACATCATTTCTCATCAAACAACTCCCACAACCATCGATGTATATGAAAAACAATAAGATTTTCGCAATGGATTATTTATTTCTAACTTCTTCACTAATTTTCCACATGATTTTACTTTGATTTCGAGTGATTTTGATGAAAAAATCAGAAGAGAGAGAAAGTGTAGGAGAGAAGTGAAAGAAGAATCATTGTTCATCAAATAAACCCACACAATCATCAACGTGCATGAAAAAAGAATAAATTTTTTATTATTTCCAACTTTCCGCTAATTTTCACTAATTTTGTTTTGATTTTTAATGGATTTGAAAAAAAAATAAAAATTTCAGAGGAGAGAGAAAGTGTAGGGGAGAGAGAGCTCAAAAAAAAGAGGGGAAGGAGAGAGAAACCAAAAAGAGAGGAGAGAGAAACCTAGATTTTAGGAAAGATTTTTTAAATTAAAAATAAATAAATAAAATAGGGTATTTTAGTCATTACATATTAAAGAGGGTATAATAGAAGTTGATTTTGTTTTTAAAAAAATAGAGGGTATGATTGGATGTTGAGTAGCACATTTAGGGTAGAATAGAAGTTGTCCCTATCTACTGGTGTCAATCGGACCGGTCCGGTCCGAACCAGACCCTCGGCCCGAAGGTTTCGGACTCGGGGTCGAACTCGGATTCGGGCCGACCCAATTTTTTTCGGACCTATGTAGTTAATCTCGAAGCCCAGATTTATATATTCCGAGTTCGGATCAGATCGGACCGACCCGTATAATTCTCTTTGTAAATCTTATTATTATTATTTTTAAAATATCGGGTATTTGGGTTGGCCCAACTCGAGTCCGGCCCGAAAACCCGATTCGAGTCCGGTCCGAAAGTCCGTTTTTTTTTCAGGTCGGACTTCGGGCCTCGGACCCAAATTGATACCCTAATAATATCCTTTTTCTTAAATAAAAACTCAAATTTAGATTGGGAAGCAATTTCTATCCACCCCTTATCAGATACCTGATCTTCTTGGCTCACGAATCAGATTCTTTATCAGAAAACATCATATTCTGGCTTCAAAATTGAAGGGAAAATATAAGAACTGTAAATGGGGATCATGACCAAATCAAGATAGGAATCAAAGATATGAGAACGAAAGGACGTCCTAAGGTCCAATGGGCTTTTTTTTACCCGTTATAATTTTCTTTAATAAGAACTAGGTAAGACCCACGCATTGTGCGGGTTATTCTTTTAATAATTATTTTAATTATAATATTTTTATTGATATAAATTTAAAATGAATATATTTTTTATTTAGAAAAATATAAATTATTATAAAATTATATATTTGAAAAACAAAAAAATAAGTATGAAAAAATGATTAAATTTATCATAATTTCTTCCACCACTTATTTTTTATTCTAATTTAAAATAATATCATTTAAATTTATCATAATTTCTTCGCCATTATATTTGTTTGTTTATATATTTTTGTATTATAAATCAATAAATTTCATCTAACATAACAATAATATTTAACATCCTGCCGAAAGAAAACTGAAAAAGTTGAACACTCAAAGAGTAATGCGAAAACTAATCAGTTCTATTCACTTGAGAAAGATAGTCAAGTACAACTCACTTTTTGTTGTAAGAATCGTATTTACTACACACACCCGAAACTCCCCCTGAGTTTCTTCCCCTCTCACAATGAATTCTACTGATCAAAAACCTCACAACATAAATCATTCACCAGAGAAAGGAGATTTGCCCAAACGGTCTCCCTCTCAGACTCACACTCACCAAATAGTGAGTAATCACTCAAATAACAGAATAGACTCGGAAAATATGCTTATGTTCTCACTAAAGCCTGATATGCATCTTGTCTCCCTTATATAGGCTCCTCCCGTTTGCTTCAGATCTTCATGAGTTGATTTGATAGACTTCTCCGTGATTCTTGCTGATTTCGTGTCTATCTTCAGGATCTCAGCTTATCTCTTGTTTTTGACTCTATCTCTTCAGCATTTGACTCTATCTCTTCAGTCTTTGACTTTATCTGAATGTCTTCAGTTGCATCTCAGATTTGCTCGAGTGTCATCTCGCCGGATTCTTCTCCTGAAATCTCTCATAGTTTGTTTAACCTGCAACAACTTTAACAACCAACATATCGTGCAAATAATTGCACTAACAATCTCCCCCTTTTTGGTTATTTCAGATCATGCACACAAACGCAAATCCTTCCACTGATTTTATCAAAGTTCAAAACCAACAAACTAGAGTCATCAAGGCATATGGTTACCAAAAAAAACATAACACTTCAGTTCACCACATAGAATCATCAAGAGCACGAAAGTTCAGATCATAAGCAAAAGAAACTCAAAAACGAAGTGATGAGTTATCAGAAGAACTCCTGGCTCTTCTAGTCTTCCTGCTTGTTCCTGACTTCTTCGATGCCTCCGCTTTCTTAGGAGTCGGTTTAGGCATCTCAGAATCATCTCCTTCTTCCTCCTCCTCTGAGTCTTCTTCTTCTGAATCTAGGTCTCCTTCGGCTTCCTCAATTTCTCCCCCTGTGGGCATGGATGAAATAATCAAAAACAATAATATCAAGGTGAGGAGTACCTGAATGAATAATGAACACATTACTCAGAGTTGCTTCAGCATATTCGTGGACTGTTGCACGGATTTGCTGACATTGTGTTGCCTGCTTCCTTAGTCCGAGCTCCATCTTTGTCAATGCTTTTTCTGCATCTTTGAGAGTCTCCAGCATCTTCTTGTAGTCCTTCTTTCCTTTACCCTTCTTTCTTTTGATTCTTGTCTCAACCACCAGGGGTTTTTGAATTACTTCAGTGTTTTTCTTTGGATCAATGAGTTCCGGGCACTGCTTGGTGAGGATGCTTTGAATTAGGCAGGGATAAGGTAATCTGAACCTTGCTCTGAAGTTCAGTGCTCTTTCCAGAATATGATCGAAGATCATGTTTCCATAGTTGATCTTTATCCCTTTCTTCACACAGTAGATGAAAACTGCTAGCCTCTTGTGGATCAGACTTGATCGCTGGGTTGGTAACCAGTTAGCTCTGGCTATTTTGAAAAGTACTGAAGCCTCGAAGTTCAACTCCACTGGGGGCTATTTCTCCTTTCCTCTTTTCATCAAAGGTGTCAGTGAGAGCTATCTCCAGCTCTTTCTGGTCAATCTCCCTGTCCAACTCATCCATGATAGGCACAACTGAGTTCTTCAAGCCCAAAAACTTGTTGATTACTGCTGGAGAAAAGTGCAGTATCTTTCCTCTTATGTACACCCGATGGTACATTGGATCCCCTGCCTTCACAATTTTCTTAGTGATGTTTGCATAAAATTCTTTGATCAGAATTTTGCTGTGGGGACAAGCATAGGTGGCTGTTTCTTCTAGACTTAGACGTTCCAGGATATCCCATATCCCCTGCTCCTTGAGGTTGCTCACATTCACGTTTCTCTCCACAATCGTGTTGAGATTCTTCATGTCATTGAACCTTTGTTCAGATTTTTCATCAACAAATTGATGAGACATACACAGGCTCGCCAGTAATTCCTCATCTTCTGACCCAGAAGGAGAACTGGGTATCTCAGTTTCTTCCTGAACTTTTCTCTTCCCCTTCATCTTCTCCTTTTGATATTCTTTAGAAATTTTTGAAGATTTTGCCCTCAGCATATCTTTTGCTGGTTCAGCCTTCCTCTTCTCGGATTTCTTAGGGGTCTTGTGCTCAGTAATCACCAAGGCAGGTTGTGATTTTGTCTTCCTTTGAACCTTTTTAGGAGGATTTTTTGCAGTCCCAACTGGTTTTGCAGCCAATTGAGATCTGGTCTATGCTCTCTGTTCAGCTATCACTCGAGAGTCAGACACTTGCCCTTTCTCTCAGCGCTCGTTGCCTTAGGTTTCTTGCTTTCAACCTTTTGCGCACGTGAGTCCACCTCAGGTTCATCATCCTCTTTTGATTTCAGCACTTTTGTCTCCGTTGCTGAGTCCGCAACCACTTCGATTTCAGCATCCTTCGATTTCTCCTGCCCTAATTGAACTGAGGGCAGTTTCTCCATTTGTTTGGATGTATCACCCACATCCTTCCCAGATTCTACATTCTCTACACTCACATCAAAATCTACACGCCTTCTTGTGTTTTTTCTTCTCAACCTAGGCTCACTATCCGAACTTTCCTCTATATCTCTAGTAGAGTAAGTAAAGAGTTCATCAAGTTTACCCGTATCAACTTGTTCTGGAGGCAGAGAGGTTTGTAGATCCTCGGTTTCCTTGCATTCATCTTCGATCCTAGGGTTTCCTTCCTGGAATTCTTCTGGGATCTCCGCGTCTGTTCCTTGGATCTTCTCCTCTGGGCTTTCGAGTTCTTGGATTTCATCGCCCACTGTATCTTTCTTGCTAGTTCGTCGAATCTCCCTCGGATTTTTGCGAGATTCTTCTGATGGGTTTTCTTCTGGATCTTCTTCCGCACTCACAAACGAGTTCGAAGATTCTTCTTTCCTGAGTTCACTCGATTTTCCTTCTCCAGATGAACCTTCTTCTGATTCTAGGTGACGATCCTCACCAGCATCTTCTCTCCTTTCTTTCGGATCCATGTTGAGTCTGAACCTTGAAATTTCACTCTCTCTTTACGATTTTCTTCTGTTGAACCACACAACTCTCTTGCGAATCAACCTCTCAGATTTTAGGGTTTTTAGCACCAAAACTTCGCAGGGATAGAGAGAGAGAACACCTCTTTTTATTGTGGGGCAATGGATTTGTTTGAGAAATCTCTGATTTTTCGGATCCCACTTCCCAATAACCGAAAATTTACTCAACCACTCACATCAATCATTTCGAGAAATAACGTTCAAAAACATTTAAAACAGAAATCCGTTACGCGATCAAATTACGATTTTAACACCAAAGGGATTTATTCATTCGTATCTTAGTTCGCAGTGTATCCAATTGAGTCAGTGACACCTCACTCTTCGTCCAGTGCTTACTTCACCCAATGAAGATACATTTTTCTCATATTTCTTTTTCATCCACCTGAACTTCTAGGACGTTGAGTCCAATCATACTGTTTCACCACTTAAGCCCATCCTATCTCATTGAGATATACTCTTGTAAAGTATCACCTTACAGCGGAGTATGATGAATAAGTTACATCTGACCTTAGACCGTCGAAAAAGCTGTATGTTGTTCAACTTAGACCCGAGCGATTTTGTTAATCTACTCATGTCAGCTCCTTTTTTTTTTAAACTTGACCAATCGAAACAAAAACACCAATCATTACTCATTTTTGCCTGAGTATATGCTGACAGAGGAGTACCAAGGGATTTTCGTATCACCAATGTCTGAAGTGCACCTGACTACTTTGTGAGGTACCACTGACCGCCCTTTCAACACTGTTTCACTTAAACACTTCAGAACAAACTCAGTTAGTGATCAAAATAAAAAATTTCCAATACCAAGAGATTTTTGCAAACAGGTAAACCTATTCATGTCAAGTGGTTTAGTAAATATATCAGCTAATTGATGTTCAGTAGGTACGTACTCAATTAGAAGACTCCCTTTTTCTACTTGCTCTCTGAGGAAATGATGTCTTATCTCTATATGCTTTGTTCGTGAATGTTGTACTGGATTCTTAGAGATGTTGATTGCACTTGTGTTGTCACAATGAGCCGTAAACGAGGGAGTGTCAATTCCATAGTCAGTCAGCATTTGCTTCATCCACATTAGTTGAGTACA